ACGCTGCCTCTGGCGCGGCTCGTAGTCGAGGATGAAGTGGCGCCTGCCTATCGCCTCCTGCCACACGGAGCGCACAAACAGCGGCCTGCTGGCCGACTCCCAAATGGGACGCATTTCCTGCTTCAGTCTCCGCCTCTTCCTCACTCCCTCTCTGAGTAATTAAATGATTTGCATATTAATGGATCCAACAACGAACTCGAAGCTTATAGTTTTGTCACTGCTTAGGTCCAAGTGCAGTTCGGGGTCTGGCCTCTTCCTTGTCGCCAGCCGATGACTGGCTGCCTCGCCAGTTGTTGCCTCACTGCCGCCGCTGTTTGGCTTGACGACGACGCCGCCGTCACCATCATCGCCAGCGCAGCAAATGTCGCCCTGCATATCGATGTATCTGTGACCCGTGACCTGTGGATGGGCCACAGGGATGGGCAAAGCAATGTCCCAGTCCCTGCACTTTGTCACTTGTAATCGTGAGATTTGTAACTCTTAGACTAAGAGAAAAGTTTAAATTATCATCAGAGGAATAAGAGTTGTCCTCCTGCAGCATTTGTTTATGAATTTATTCCTCAGTCATTCTACGAAAGATTTAACTCCTAACATACTCCAACATGTAACAGTCACACTTTCTGCTGATCAAACAAAGTGAGTTGGTTACTCGATTGCCAAGTCTCGTAGCCCTGGCCAGAGCCAGTCACTGTTTGTTTTGTCTGGTGGCATGGCTGACAGACTGCCAGAGTCGCTTTCCTTTTGGCTTTGCGGTTTAAGTGTCTTCGACACGCGAAATGCAACCAGCCAAACCCCAAACCCAAAACCAATGCCATGCCCATGCCCAGCCCTTGCCTCGATGTGCTGCACGTGCTCTTCCTGAAGGATTATTATTTGTTTGTGTGTCAAACATGGGTCTTTGGGAGCGTTTAATGAGTTGTTGGGGACTTGATACCTACGAAATTACTAGGCAACAATTTACTTTTTGTCGCATAAAATTGGTTGGCTAATCGTTTGGATGTTGTGGCATTCCAAGTGGTTAACCCCAATTAAGCGAATCGCAGGAAATTTGCATACATTTCCGCTTGCATGTCCGTGCAGTGGCTGCCTCGTCCCACCACCCAAAAGGGTTTCCATTCGCTCCGCATGGGGGTGGGTTTCTGTTTTGGCAAAGCTGCCAAATGGCATGCCAGATTACATGGCCGACATATGTGACAGTTGAATGTGGTTGACACGAGGCGTCATAAGTCTAAAAGGCAAGTTGCTTTCAGGTCAGGTCAGGCGATATTTCCACTTTCGCTTGAACTTATTGGAAGACCCCCAGTGGCACGGGGGCATGCTCATATGCATATGAAGTAGAAGTTTGCCTAAGTATCTAAGCCCAGTAAACAACATAAGCCACATAAAGGCCCAAATTAATGGCATGCCTCCAGGCCACACAGCCCATGTGGTGGCACACGTTCGTTGTCAGTGGGATAACCACGAGTCCCTGTCCACGTACAAACAAATTACCTCAACAGTACTTCAAACAACTTTCCACACACACTCAACGGGGCAACTCAATTGAAAAGTAGTACAGCAGTGGCACTCTGCCATTGCCATCAGCCATGTCCGACCTCGGCCTAGCCTTTGGCAGGAAATGCAATTACGGGTACGAGCACTAGTACCGGGGGGGTACGCTCTGAGTCTATGTCTGAGTGATGCAGTCGTTTTACGGGTGTTGATAATAAATATAAACTGAGTCGAAACATGCAACAAACAAATTGAATTTGCCCTGAAACGCAAGAGCATGGGCATGGGCCACAACACCGACTGGGGAGACTCTCTTTTTGGAGAGTCAATTAAACGCATCGTCGTCGTCTTGGGGCTGGCCTATCGTATGCACAAAGTGTACGTTCAACACTGTACTCTGTTGGCCTTCCTTTTTTTGTTGGCGCTTGCCGGTTGCAACTCAATTAGGCGGAGGCAATCTCTTGCGCTGGCAAAGCAATTATAAAACTTTTAGCACCAAATGCAATTAAAGAGCGGCCATAGACTCGCTTTCGGCAAGAGCCAGCGCCATCAAGCGGCGGCCGCTTAGACTAATTGTATGAAGATTCTTTTTTTGCGTTTCCTATTTTAATTACACCTTTCGTAACGCACCGCATCGTGCTCTAAACAGTGCCCATCATACCCGAGTTCCTGTACGACATACGACATCCGGATGCTCCGCTCGACAGCTATGCCCGCACCCCACTCACCTTCCACACCCCAGCACCGCCGACACCGTGTCCGTGCAACAAGGATGGCAGCGAGGCGGCACCCCTCGAGATCTCCACCATGAGTCCGGAGGGTAAGTTGAGAGGAGGGTAGGCAGTCTGTCTAATTGGCAAGGCGGGTTAAAAATGTGATTTATGCCACAGAGAACGAGACCTACTACCGTGAGCTAGAGGAGCGTCACAACGAACTCGTGGGAGAGACTGTCGAGGTTGGCCTGCTGTTCGCCTCGAAGGCCTTCGTCCAGCTGCTGGTTAATCCGATTGTGGGACCCCTTACGCACCGGTAAGTTAACGAGTTGCTCATACCTGTGTTCTTCTACATCTTCTCTCTCTGCGTATCCCTCTTGTAGCATTGGCTATAGCATACCTATGTTCGCTGGCTTCGTCATAATGTTTCTCTCCACGATAAGTGAGTTGGCTAGGGAAAAATGTTGCCACTGCTAAGTTTCCCACTCTCTCGCCCACTGTAGTCTTTGCTTTTGGTCGCTCCTATTTGGTGCTGTTTGTGGCCCGAGCTCTTCAGGGAATCGGCTCATCCTGTTCTTCGGTGTCGGGCATGGGCATGTTGGCAGATCGCTTCACCGACGACAAGGAGCGTGGCAATGCCATGGGCATTGCCTTGGGCGGACTGGCTTTGGGCGTGCTCATTGGTCCACCGTTTGGCGGTGTCATGTACGAGTTTGTGGGTAAGTCAGCTCCATTCCTGATACTGGCTGCCCTGGCTCTGGGCGATGGCCTGCTCCAGCTGTTCATGCTGCAGCCATCGGTGCAGAAATGCGAGTCCGAGCCTCCGTCCCTGAAGTCGCTGGTCAGTGATCCGTACATTCTGATTGCCGCTGGGGCGATCACCTTTGCCAATATGGGTATTGCCATGCTGGAACCTTCGCTGCCCCTGTGGATGGTCGACAACATGGGAGCCACTCGCTGGGAGCAGGGCGTCGCCTTTCTGCCGGCCTCCATTAGCTATCTGATTGGCACGAATCTCTTTGGACCGCTGGGACACAAGATTGGGCGCTGGTTTGCCGCCTGCCTCGGTCTGGTTATCATTGGAGCTTGCCTGATCTTTGTAAGTCCTTCGAAAACCCAAGTCTGAAGTGGCTTTAAGTTCATTGAGAATCTTTGCAGATACCCATGGCCACTTCTATTACACATCTGATTATTCCCAACGCCGGTCTCGGCTTTGCCATTGGCATGGTCGACTCTTCGATGATGCCGGAGCTGGGCTACCTGGTGGACATTCGCCACTCGGCCGTCTATGGCAGCGTCTATGCTTTGGGTGACGTCGCCTTCTGCGTGGGCTTTGCCGTGGGTCCTGCCCTGTCCGGCTCCCTGGTGAAGAGCATCGGTTTCGAGTGGATGCTGTTCGGCATAGCCATTCTCTGCTTCATGTACGCCCCGCTCCTGACTTTCCTCAAGAATCCACCGACCAGCGATGAGAAAAAGGTACGTATGGCCAGGGAAGCCGCTGCAGCAGCAGCCGAAACGGAACTGGCCAATGCCGGCGGTAATTCGATACCGCAGCTGACGGCATCCTGTCCGGCCATTATGCATGGCACGGCCGAGCTGGGCAAGTCGAATGATGCATACGAGAGCGAGAGGCTCTAGCTGCCCTTTTATTGCTTTTCCAATCGATTTAGTTTTTTTTATTATTAGACATTATCTTTGTTGTTTGTACGATTTAAGTTCTTCTTAATTTGATTGTAATAAAACTTTTAATTTGTATTAATTTTATCGTCGCTTGAGTTTTATTTTACTGAAAAATTTGATTAAAGTGCTCGCAAATAATAATCTCCCACTCGATTCCTTTGCAGTCTTTGATCTATGGACGCGATCGGGAACAGGTACGTTATGTCACCTATCAGAACTACGACGAAGACGAATAAACGACGAATCGAATCCTTGAGATGATTACAAATAAACTCCAACGCAATGTCGCCAAAAGAGTGACCAAAAATACAACAAAAAAAGTGTGAAAGAAGATGGAAATTTGGTAAAAAGAAAAACAAAACAAAAAAAAAGGAAACACAGCCAACAATATCAGATATATCATATGCAATTTCAAAGGAAATCGTTATTATTGTTCAATGTTACGAGTGTTAAATAACCCCTCCGCTATTATCATATCGAAACGAAACCTAAACTCCTATAGAACCACAGCTACAGATCCAACAACAAACAAGGCGCACACGTTAATGACAAGCACAGCACAAACATTTAAATACAATAATCAGAGAAGTTATACTATACATAAAGATAACTCTATTGAAGAGGAGGAGTGGGCACGATGTTCGGTGAAGACGGGTAACTTTTAGTTTGATCACTAATATAAACGGAAGATCAGAGCATCTTTCAATGTGGCAATCTTAAGAGCACTACTATATACCGGAGGAAAATCAATGACCTAATTTGGTATTTCATAATTGGAACTATTGAATAACGAAATTATTTATGTCATTACAAAGTACAGACGCCGCATCGACCATCACCAACAGATGATGCATGCAACTGTATGTAAAGTTTACTGAGCTTTTTAGGAGAGCTTTTCTAGCGCAAAACTCTACTCCCAGTATAGAAGGTTTTATTGCTGTGTCGAAGAGCAGGCGCCTGCAATTGCATTGATTTAATGGACTGGGGATATCTAGGAACTGGCAACATCTACTCTACTCTACAAGAAATAACAAAGACCAACTCTAGGGGGAACTTGCACTTTTTTACATTAATTTTTGTCTGCATTTTTGTTGAATTTTAAAACAAATATTCAGCTTCAGGCGAGTGCCGCATCTGGGATATATTCGAGTATGTTTATAGGTGGGTTCAACATCAGATCAACTCTGAAACAAATTCCTTTTACGAATGCACCTGCCTGAGGGTCAGAGTTCCAAAATTCTCCTGATATTGATATCACCCATACATAGAATCTCCCTCCACTACATACGCATCCGACGCGAGATGGTATCCGCATAGACAGTGATATTGACATTCAATGACTGCACGGAGCTATCGTCCCCCTGTAGCAACCGACTGCTGCTCAGCCGTGGTATCACAACCGGAATGGGTGAATGATTTCGCAGCCGCACTTGGTTAAATGAGAACTCCAGATCCCGGTCTCGGGGACGCGACGTTGTTATCCTAATGGGTATATTATTGAGCCGAGTGAGAATTGGGGAATCGGAGTTCAGCTGCTTCTGCTCGTACAACTCTGTGGTCGATGGCCGATGGCTACCATTGGTGCTCACCGACACATGGACATTGCCATTCGACGTACCCGAACTGGTCCGCTCTAGACTTCTGGCAGACCTGACAGGAGGAGCTGTACTGAACATGGGAACAGCAGGAGCTGGAGTGTGCTTGGGTTCTGCAGGAGCTGGAGTGTACATGGGGATAGGAGAAGCAGCAGTGAACGTGGAAGCTAGAGGAGGCACGGTCGGAGCTGTTGGCTTCTTTTGGCCCCGCAGCGATGGCAGATTCTTGTTGCAGCTCTGCAGACGCTGGGAGCGCTTACTGGCAGCGGCAGGCGGACGGTCACAGAAGTGTACCATGCCGGGCAGACGATCGTCAGAGGTGCGCCTATACAGATGGGAAGTCATTATCACAGGAGGGACGGGTAGGGGGGGCATCGGCATCGGTACTTCCCTCCGCTTTTGCTCTGTCCGTCGCAGGAGTTCCTGGTGCTCATCGTACTCCTTGCGTCGCTGAGACTCCCGTTCAACCTCTCTGAGGCGCTCCTTCTCCCTCTCCACCTCCAGTTCGAGGAGCCGCTCGTAGTCCCTTTGCCTCTCCTGCTGGCGCAGATTTTCGCGCTCCCTTTCCCGCTTCCTGGCGCGTTCTCGCTCCATTTTTAGCTCCAACTCCCTCTCCGCAACCCGTTGCTTGGCTGCCTGCTCCGCGCTTATCCTGGGCTTGTTTTTGGCCACACTGAATTTGGACAATCGCTTGTCTATGCCAAAGGTGACCGTGGATCGGCTGGCACTGCTTGAGCGCTGATGTCCTGGCGGTTGCTTCGCCCTGTCCGTGTTGTTCAGCAGACAGGTGTCCGTCTCAATTTTGATTCTCAAATTGTTGTCCGCCTCCGATTCCGAATCCTGGGCACCTTTGTTAATGTTTATCTCGCAGCCACTGCAGTCGCTTCTCTTGGGCACCAGCTGGATGCTGGAGCTGCTGCTATCAGCAACCGACTGATGCCACTCCCTTTCCCTCTTCTCAAATGTTGACCTAGAGGCGCTCATAGCTGCTGCATTGGTGCTGCAGTTTCGATAGAGAGATGTAGTGCTCTGTCCCCGATCCATTGTCTGATAGTCGCCGCGGTTGCAGCAGCTCTTCAGCAGCGGAGAATCCGTCGAGACATTATGCTGCAACTGGGAGTCGCGCAGGTAATTGTGGCGCCGGTTCTCCGCAAAGGAAGCGCTGTCCTGCTCCATCATCCTGGCGCTCGGAGTCGCTGAAGCACACTCCGGATCGCGGGAAAACTTGGCATTGCGATAGTATGTCTCAAACTGCGGCGCTCGGCTAGGGGTCGGCTGTGGCTGTGGCTCGGGCCGCTGGTAGTGCTGTACTGGGTAGACGGGTCGCTCGGCATAGCGAAATTTGTACGACTGAATTTTGAATGGATCGCCGTGAAAGATGTCGGTTTTGGGTCGGACCGGGTACGGATGGGGTCCCTCTGTTGTGAAATGAAAGATCTTTGTTAATGCACTCTTTCTGCTTGGACATGGAGGCGGCCTTACGCATTGCATGACTCATTGTGTGCTAGTAATTTTGTGCTCTCCGAGGACGTTCTGCCAAAGGGATTGAGAATATTGCATTCCAATCATGAAAATGAATTTTTTGCTAGTGTTAAAACAACTCTAAAGTAAAACTAATTCATTAATTTGACAACGAACACCCAGGGCACCCTTCCTAGGCGCCCCAGTTCCATTAAAACTCTCAGGCAATACGGCGTGGCATTTGACAGGCTTTATGGGGCCACTCGATGACGACGAGTCCCCCGACCTTCTTTAACTAAATCAATTTAAAATTTAAAGTTGTTAAAGATAGTTATCGGAATCTAGTTGAATATATCTCCCAGTAACCCACAAATAAACTACTATGAAATACACTATTAAATATATTCTAAATATACTCTTGTAAAATTGTTGCCCACATGGCACACACACACAAGTTATCTGACACATTAGGGGAATTACTTATAGGCTTGTGGTGCAAACTGTACTAGGAATTCATTTCCATAGCATTACCATAAATAGGCTAAGTTCAAATACAAAGATATAGTGAAATGCGTGCACAATTGTGTGATTTATTTTTCTGTTTGCATCTTATTATTTAGAATGGAATTTATAAGTGGGGAAAGAAATCGCTAAAGTGAGTTGCTCAAGAAGAACCTACATTCCAAGTATCTATACATAGAGTATCCATCCAACAATTCCCACCCAAGTTTTAAAGTGTTTCCCTCATGCGTATTACCGATTTCGTTCCCCGACTTGCACAGATCAACTTGGATCAATCGGATACTGCCGCAGGACACTTGAATGGCTGCAAGTGTCCTCAAGTGTTGTGATCACATAGGAGGATCATGTAAAATCCACAAATTATAATGCAATGATAATAAGCCAACTTAAAGGGCTACCGTACAATACATTTTTGAGCGCGCATTGAACAGAATTCTCATAAAATAAAGGAAAATAGCTCTGTAATAGTTAGTAGGCCAGAGTGGCAAAGCGACAAAAGTTGAAAAGCAAACAAAATGTAGTAAATCGCAGGTATACAATGAGGTTATATTGAAACAATTGTACATACGCATAGCTGAAGTACTTGCTGATTATCATCGTTGTTCCGTTGTTGTGACTCTACAGATCTAATATATAAATAAAATATCTAATCGTATTATCTATTTGTAATCCAATCATAATCCACATAGACTTTGCCTTTGTGTTCGTTGTAACTTTTCACGCTTTGAAGAATTGCCGAATTCAATCATGCAAAAACACACACCACAAACATTTTATAGTAAATTAACTAAACTAAAGATTTGATACTATAATACTCGTAGAAACAAGCATGCATATGCGATTTAAATGTATCTATAATGATCTGATATTTAGCAAGAGGTTTTGTTCGGTTTTCATAAGGTTATACTATTGCCATAGCCTTGTGCTGTGGGCTCCCCACCGCCTTGTGCGTCGGGGTGCTCAGCATTCAATATAGACGTGTGAATTAGACAATATAGCTTATAAATGAACAACAAACAATATAGAAATTACTCATATTCAAATCGTTATTGTTATCTAACCTAATGTTTAAATGTTCCAAAAGAAAAAAGCGTGTGCTAAAAACACAAACAAAAAGCTGGTATGGGGTCAAACAAAGCTAATAAGCAAAACTACAATTAACCAACGCGTTTTGTGCACAGTATTAAATATATATAATCTACAAATAAATACACTACATTACACCTATATTTAACAATTTACTGTATGTATTTGCTATATATACTGATAAGAAATAATCGCACACACATACTCTCTCTCAAGTTCACATGCGAATGTCCGCAGGAAAATCAAATATTATATTCGTTTCTATAGTTTAGCGCGAGCATATTAGTCAAAATACAACAAACAACACAACACAATACGATACATTTATAGAAACTTAACAAACAATATAGAAGACGCATTATAGTCCTTAGATAATTATCACAGTACACTAAACACTACAAACGATGTGACGATGTGTACTCAAGCCATGCCATGTCTAGGGTGAGAGCCGGGAGAAACCTAACCAGAAATCTTACATTTATTAAGCCAAATGGTGACCGAGTAGAATATATTGAATAAACCACTTATATATTGATATTAATTACATACTTATAGCTATTATATATACACATATAATATATGCACTAGTCGTTGGACAAATGTTTATTTCATAGAGATACTTATATATAACGATATCAGGATAAATAAACAAAATTGCGTTGAGTTTACTATACTCGGATTCGCCCTTATCTTATTGGCAGCAATTGGAAACAATTCTATTGTAATTCAAAAATGCAAATGCAAATGCAAACTACAAATATGTAACTGAAGTTGTTGGTGAATAAACAAGCTACACACGAGAACAAATGTTGTTTTATGAATTGTATTTGTATGTCCCTTGGCCAAGAAAAGACTCCATGTTTATATTATTTTTCCAACTAAACATTTATTTTATATAGTTACAAATATTTACATCAAGGTGGCGGAAGAGCTCTCTCACAATGATAAGCCATTTATATCAAAGACCGCGTTAAAAACCCTCAATGGTAATACGAAGTGCATGTTATCTTAAATCTGATATTAGCTAATGTAAGTGTTAATGCATGATCGAATTGATTTATATACATTTGAAACTTTACACATTACTTTAAGGTCAACTTTTAGAAAGCCCATGAAAAGAGTACACGACAAAGGGGAAAAGGTCAAGAACGCTTTAAACTTACGAACTAATTCACGTTACGTTTAAATATCAAGATACTAAATCCATGGAGTCTACCAGCTCGTTTGAATCGCCTTTCTCCTTGCCAAAGGTAATAATCTGATTCAGGCTTTCGCCCAACTCCTCCATCACCTCACGCTCGGTATTCTCTATAGAAGTGTTCTGCTTCTCGTGCATCACAATACGAGAAATCATGCACATGATGGTCGCCTCCACCACATCGTCTGTCAAATACCGATCCGAATCATCCTGCGACTGTTTGTCGTCTCTAGCCTTGTTCGTTTCTTCGCCATCCGCCAAACTGTCTATAGAGTCCATGTCCATATCTGGACGATCTTCCATGTTCCGGCAGCCTGCAAAAATACAAAAATAAAACATTTTAGCTTAGATCAGTGAACAGGCATCCATGAGCTTTCATGCTTGTACTAACCCACGCATTTGCACATGTTCGAGCAGGGTATCTTTGCCTCGTAGCACTCGCAATAGTTCTTCAGACAGCCAGACCGTTTGCAGTTGCACCCCTTGTTGTGCAGCCGCATGTCACCCGAATTTGGCGCCGTAATCTTAGGTCTGTAGGGAAAACCAAACAATAAGTGTAAGTAAAGAAACAGGATGACAATTGCAATGAAAACAAATACGTACTTGAATGCGCTGGGATTGCGCTCTAGGCAACTGCGTATGGCTCGCTCTCGCTCGACCTCATAGTCCAGATTATTGAAGCAGTCCTTGCAGGTGCAGTCCTGGCAGAACTCCCCATTGGCAAAACAATCGCAATATAACTTCAAACACTGCGACTTGCTGCAGTTACAATGCTTTCGTCGCGACGCCATACCCGCTAGTGCGTCAGCCGCAGGCTGTGTGTCGGATGGCGGAGACTTTAGTATCTCGAAGAGCTGCTTCCCAGGCAAAATCTTGGCGCTTTGAGGATTGGCATTGTCACTAGCATTACCTGGAGTAGGCTGACCTGTGGCCTGTGCCGCCTTTGGCTGTACCGCGGATGGTTGATTTTGCAGCTGCTGCTGTCGTATCCTCTGCTTTGCCTGGGCCTGCAATGCTTGCAAATTTGTTGCATGTTGCATTGGTGCAATGGAAAGGGGACGACGAGTCTTGCTGTCCACATAGCCGGTGTATCCGCGTCGCATGGCACTGGTCGATGACTGGGGAACACCCGAATTGCAAATCATGTACTTTACTCCATTGGCTGACTGCACCAAATTATAGACTTTCTTTGCAGAATTGGGAGCTATTTTGTTGGAGTTGGCGCCCTGCACCGTGACGCGCTGTATGGACGAAGGACGTGTCACAATCTGCTTGTGCTGCGGCTGCTGCTGAGAGGATTGCGCTACTGATATTACAAAACGTGGCTTCTTAGTCTCTGGGCCAGCTTCGCTGCTATCGCTGGCTTCGTCCCCAGCTGACAAGTGTTGGATGTTGAGATCGGTAAGTCTATGCTTTCGGGGTGATTCCTGATTGCCGCTATTGCTGCCAGGCGATCTGGTGTTGGTGGCGCCCAGCGCACGCTGCAAAGGATCATACAAGGTTAGCCTGCATAGTATTTTGGCAGTTTTCGTACTCACCTTGGAAACCAACGTTTGCATAGAGGGAAGCGGAACAATGCTTCCACCCGTTGTCTTCATTATAATCTTGTTTGTATTGCCCACAGATTGACTTTTAGTTGCTGCTGATGATGCGTTAGTTGGGCTGCTCGTGGATGCATTCGCGGGCATGATGGAACGCACAAAGGTTACCTTCGACGTGGAACTGGTCTTGGCGCTTGTAGATGTACTGCTGCTATTGGCCGCCTCCTTTGTATTGGGAAGGACGCGAACATATTGGACGACGCCGCCCTTGCCGGGAATCTGTACAGCATGTATTCCCTTCGTAGGGGAGCTTCCTTGGGAGACGCTTGTGTTTGTTATGCTACTGGTGGCCCCTGCCTTGGGTGACAGCTTTATGATGTTCTTGCTGGACACCACAATTTGTTTGCCTGTACTCTGCACTAGCATCTTTCCAGACGGCGCCGATGAGCCGCTTGTGCCGGTGGTGGTCGTATTCAACGTGGAAGTGTTGCTTACATCGCGTTGCGCTTGTTTGGGTGGAGCTGCCTTAATAACCACTTGACCAATCGACTTCCTGAGCCCCATGTTTCCAGCTGTGAGAGACATTTTAAGGGCAGATGCTGCTGCATTATTTCCAGCTCCAGGTGTCGTGGTCGTGGTTGCTTTGGAATTTATAATCATAGACGAACTGGCCTGCTTAATCTTGATTATCTTGCCATCAGATGACCGCACCACCTGAAATTTGGCTGACGGAGTTGATGTGGGTGAACTGGCGGAAGATGGTACACCCTTTGCGGCCAGTGGAGTTATTCCCTTAATGGTTACGGGCGTGGTGCCAGAGGTACCTCCTTTCCCTGGTACGGCTGCCTTGACCAGCCCAGTGCTGCCGACGTTCACGGCCTTGGAAAGGATTGCTTTTTGAAGACCCGCTGGGGCGACTAGATGATGTACAGCTCCTCCTGATGACACAGTGACTGCTGCCTTGGACGTGGTAGGAGTTGAAGCAGTCACAACTGGTTGCTTCGCAGCTGCTCCCGCTGACAAGGACCTTTGAAGGTAGAGAACTTTCCCATCCGGCGTCTTGATCTGTGTCATGGTTAAGCTGTTTAATGGCATTCCCTTGGCCGTTTCACCCGGTGACGATGTTGGTGCGACCGTTGTGTTGCCAATCTTTATGGTATTGCTGGAAACGGGCTTAAAATTTTTTAGAATCTTTATATCCGTTATTTGTGGCTTGACTGGAGCGACTGCCCCCGCCCCCTCTGTAACCACTTTGATAGCGTGCGATTTCAAAACAGCGGGTCCGGGCGTCCGCAATCGTTTGTCCTCCAGTATCGTGACAACGGATCTTTTGAACTGCGGCGTGTTCAATGACTCATTTATGGAGATTGAGTGCTCCTCTCCAGAGGCGCCATCTTCATCCGAATCGAGTGCATCGATTTCCATGTGGTGCTGTGTGGCAGTTTCGTCTTGCGTTGGCTCCAAAAAGTCTTCGAAACTGAGTTCGGGTAATGGCGTGTTGTCGTCCAAAGATTCTGTGTACGAAAAAGATTGCAATTAATATTTTGTTTATTGGCTTTTGCGTTATTTTGTATACCCGACGACCGTCGCCACCGTTGAGTGTACATGTTTGCAATTATTTTTCAATTCAATTTCAAAAATTTTCTTTATCATCAGCTGCGTTCAAGGCGGTTGCGATACTTCGCTTGCCAGCACTGGGAATCAGTGTTGAAAAATATTCTACTCTACTCGAAGAATAATCGATATACAAGAAAATCATTCCTCACAAGCATGAACACGATTTAAAAATAGATTTTCTACCGTTTCCGACTCAATTTTTGTTTGGTTTATTTTTCGACTGCAATTTAATCGACAACAACTTACAGAATACGCATACAAAATGCTTAAATATATGATTTTATTAAATAGCCGACACATTTTTCATTACTTCTTGGCAGCCTCCTTCTTCTCGCGCGCCTTCTTGCCCTCAGTTAGCTCGAGGCGTTGCGTCTCAGTCAGGGCCGACATGGTCTTGGTAACCACACCCGTGCCCAGAGTCAGATTGCCATCGCGCAGTGTGAAACGTTGGCCCTGCTCCATGACCATGGGTCGGATAAGACGCAGTATCAGTTTGGTGTCCTCGCCAGGCATGACCATGTCCTTGTCGGGTATTTGCACTTGTACAGCACAGTCCCAAGTGCGCGAGAACATTTGAAGTTGAATGAAGGACATAAAGGGCTTGGTGCGACCACCCTCCTCCTTGGACAAAATGTAGACCTGCGCCTCCAGCTGATCCATGGCCTTGACACTGCCCGGCTTGCACATAACCATGCCGCGCTTAATGTCGTCTCGCTTGACGCCTCGCACCAAGGCTCCCAGTTGATCGCCGGCCTGAGCCTCCTCCAAAATCTGATGGAACATCTCCACGCCCGTCACCGTCGACTTGAGCACCTTGTTGTAGCCGACAAATTCACACTCCATACCCTTCTTGACCACACCGCGTTCCAGGCGACCAGTGACCACAGTGCCACGTCCGGGAATTGAGTAGACATTCTCCACTGGCAGAAGGAAAGGCTTGTCCAGCTCACGCACTGGAGTCGGTATGAAGCTGTCTACTTCCTTGAGCAGCTTTAGAATCGCCTCCGAGCCGATCTCGGGGCTTTTATCCTCCAGAGCGCACAGCGCCGATCCTTTCACGACAGGAACTTTGTCCCCGTCATAGCCCATTTCGGTGAGCAGCTCGCGAATCTCCATTTCCACCAGGTCAACCATCTCCTGGTCAGCGGCATCCACTTTGTTGATAAATACCACAATATGATCAATGCCAATCTGCTTGGCCAGCAGCATGTGCTCCCGAGTCTGGGGCATAGCGCCGTCCGTTGCAGCCACCACCAGAATGGCACCATCCATTTGAGCTGTGCCCGTGATCATGTTCTTGATGTAGTCGGCATGTCCTGGACAATCGGTGTGTCCATAATGACGCGACTCTGTTTGGTACTCGACATGGGCCACATTGATCGTAATGCCTCTGGCCTTCTCCTCCGGTGCGTTGTCGATTTCATTGTACTTTTTGCTCTCGGCCAAATGCTTATCCGCCAGCACTTTGGTGATTGCTGCTGTCAACGTTGTCTTGCCGTGATCAACATGCCCAATGGTGCCCACATTGCAATGCGGCTTGGTGCGCTCGAATACCTTCTTCTCATTGGCGTATTCTCGCAGATATTGCTGAACGTTGCCGGTCGGGGCGGTGAGGAGTAGACTGTTCCGCTTCCATTCACGGTTGGCAGTGGTCGGACCAGTGGCGCAAGCCAAACGCAGCATTCGGGATGAGCTCATGGCCCGGCGGCTGCACCGAATGGCCATGGGGGCAGCCGACCGGTATACTGCAGCAAATGCATGTGACATGATTCAACGGTTCCGTACGCTTTCTCTGTGGCCAAAAACTGAAAGAAACTTGAGTTGCCAAGTGTGGTACTAGCTGCGTTGCATTTTCCGCCACTTACAACAATATTGTCTTGTCCTTCAGGGGAGCAAAAAGCCTTTTTAAGAGTCGGGAAAAATCTTGTCAATTGCGTAAACCGTACAATGTGCTGTGCTGCCGACTGAACTGCCAACTTGATACGATATATCGATATCAGTATTGTGAGCTCGATACACACCACAATTCTTATATAATTATGTTAGCGCTTTGCCTCATTCATAATCCAGATAATAATTATATATTTTACCTTCACGCAGACTTAAATAAGCCCAAAACACTAGTCTTCTGATTTGGTGCAATTCTAACTAGTTGGCAGGTCTTGTTTACGTTGTGGAGGGAAGTTATTTTTGCGCGATTTTTTCATAATAAAGTACATTTGCTGGCACTTACACAAATACTCTAGGGCTGATGCATTTCAAACACATCGGGACGTAATGGCATTCTTAACTAGCTGTTTCGCATGCAAATACTTGGTATCAGCAGCCAACTGGCCCCAAGACTGTACCCCACAAAGCACTCATACATCCACAAATTCGTGTATATGTAGTGTTGGGAAATTTTTGGTTGGGATGTTCCCACGTTAAAAGCACTTGGTACATTTTTGAATTATCAAAAATGTGCAAATTACGAACCGACCTCATTACATATGCGTTTCAAAATGGGAGACAAAAGTGCACCCATTTATGAGGCAAGCTGCACTGATTTCCCATGGTCGACACATGGGCTGCTGGCCGGTTTGATAATTTGCGCGCCAGCAGGCCCCTCTACGTGAGATGGGCCAACTGCCATGCCAGGCAGGTACACGCTGTACTGGCCAGAGGTTGAAAATTCAATTTGAAATACGAAAGTTCGGCTTAAGCGCTAGACCACTCACCAATCGTAATGCAACTGGTATCCATTGTGGGGTCCATTTAGATTATATGTCCTTATCGGGTAGTAATGTGTGTTTGTTTTGAATATTTGCAGTGTGCGCGGTAGATGCTAAGCAAAACAAAAAGAAAATCTATGCCGTGATGACAAACAACTAAGAACAGTGCGGCCCGGCCACTTTGCTGAAACACCACTCGCAAAACGCCTTATAAATGTCTTCCACAGCACCACTAATGTATGCACTCTATTTGGGACCGTATTAACATTCCGAACACAAAAGCAAATTCAAAATTCAATTTAAATTGCCGTCCAGTCTATTTCTGCTGCAGTTGATGTGAATTTTATCTAAATTGTACTAGCCGAGCAGAGTTGCTAATGAAACTATCGAGGAAGTGCGATGACTCTAGTGTTGTAAAGCGTTTCACCACTGCGGCATTTTTAAATAAATGTATTAATCATATAATTAAATATATTAATAGCCATTAAAGCACAATTATGGGTTTCTCTTGTCCATAAACTGTCTATTAAGAAGCTGCATCTTGGAACTGTGCGTGTTCTCCTTATCATCCACCAGTAGGTAATTCTCTCGAACAAACGCCGTGAATGCCGTTTCCGACTTATTTAGTCGCGGCAATTTGTATGGGTCAGTGCGGCTCCAACGCTCCACCCTCACCTCAAACTGGCAGTAATGACACCGCAGACGCTCCGAGTCCTTCTTAAACTCCATGCGGCCGAAAGAGAATCGGGAGCATAGCGGGCACGAATATTTATAGCTAGCCCCGCAGTTCGTGATCAATGTCAGTTTCGGTATCAGTTGTTTCGATTGGTAGCCCCTAGACGAAATGCAGACGAATATGTATGTGAGAGGATATTACGAAAGGAGGAACGATCTACCGATTTACCATTTCCGACAGTTGATGCCATGCCCTGTCTCACCGTTGAACACAAAGGCCGCCACATGGCACATCTCATGCAGCAGCAGCTTTATTAGCAACCCCGCCTTTCTGATGCCCTTCTTGCACAGCAAAATTTTCGCTGTGTGGTGCCCTGAAACGTTGAAGCCCAGCTTGCTGGTGCTGGGAGTGCTCATTACAGATTTCCACACAATTTTCGCCTGAAGGCCGCAGTGAAAGATGGAACCGTTGAATATTTCATATAGCACCTCGACCAGGTCCACTCTGCACTTCGCAAAATCTGTGTTTCGGTAAGTCAGTGCACGCGGATGGCACATATTGATCGCAGTCTTTGGATTCAGTGATTCGACGAATCCATAAACGAGCGGATCATGTTCTAGGAAGGCTAGAATGCTCTTCTTGTGCTGCTGACAAATGCTCGCCCCCCACTGCTTCGGCTCCTTGAAGGCCGTCGTTGTCTGTTCCTGAATGCTGCCGTTATTTGTTTGGAACACCAGATCGGAACAGAGCTTGGACTTCCTCTCCTCAATGGGGGAAGTATGCAGGCTCACCTTGTCAGCCTCCTCCGCCTCATTCGCATTGTCCATGAAATTGTAGTCACGTTTGGGCGACGTTCTGAGGCCCAGGATTTTGTGCAGCTGCACTTTGAGTTCTTCATCCTCATCGTGCTTATCCCTGGCAGCAGCCACAGACTGGTCCAGGTCTATAAAAAACCTGCTAGAGGGGAGTGCAGTTTCCTTCTGGGGAGAGTTATTTGGCTCATGCGATTCCATGGGATTGTAAAGTCTACGGCGCGGGGCGAGGAGGCCCAGGAATTTGTGCAGCCTAGTTTTGAGATCAGCATCGCCATCGAGTGATAAATCGGCGACAGGTTTATCTCTGACAATCGCCACCGACTGGTCCAGGTCAATGTATATTAACCGACACTTCATATTGCCCCTGCGTGTTACCCCTCGTGGCTTCGAAGTGGGACGAACTACAACGAATCCATTATGAATATTAAAACAGTTTGTAATTACTTGATCGCGACTTACGTGCATTTACCAATTTCTTCTCTAGGAGTATTTCCGAAGATATCTGATCCATGTTGCTGGTGGTTTTCCTTTTCTTTATTTGATTGATTTTTATTTCGAAATGACATTAAAATCAAAGATTTGACATTAGAGAGCAATCTTCGGACATAGCCAAATCGTACATTAAAATCAAATATTTGACATTTATTAATCGTTTTCAGATATTAGTATAACCATATATATTAACAAATATGAAACTTTAAACAATAAATAAAACATAAACTACATAAACTCAGTGGAGGGCCGAAGACGCACTCTGCGATTGCGCAGCGTGTACGTGCGCGAAGTGTTGCCGTCCTCAGATTGCTGCTGATTTTCGGCAGGTCCATGGTCTAGGGAACGTCTTTCCCCTGAAGCCTCCAGCGACATGTCCTCCTCGCAATCCTCCAGCTTGTCGCCTCCGACGGCCTCATCGTCGCTGACAGTGCCTTCATCGATGGTGAACTTGAAACGTCGAACATTTTTCTTTGTACTGAAAATAACGCCACGGCTTTCACGCCTGCTGGTGCCTGGCGTCTTCAGAATCGACTGGCGTGCCTTATTCGGAGGTGGCGTGTGATTCATGGCGTTTTGTTCGGCTGCCGCCAATATGGCAGACTTGAGCAAGGCATTGCCCCCTATGGAGGGACGGCTCTCTCCGACAGACATGCGCAGGACAGTGCGAGCGGGAGAGAAGGAGCGGCGATCGCGTACTACTATCACACGCTGGTGGCTGATGCGAGATGGAGTGGATTGTGCATTGTCCGCAGATGCCTCATCGGTCTTGATCTTTTTCATATCAGCATGGGCCCTGCGAAGGAATTGCTTCAAGCTGCTGCTGGCCTTGGCCTTGGGCTTTGGCTTTGCCTTCAAATTGTTGCCCAGCTTGGCCTTTGGTTTGGCCACCGGCTTGGCTGGTATTTTGGCTTCCTCGACTGCATCGGGGTCCTGCCAATTGTTCTGCTTCCAACGCTTCAAGTTGTCAAAGCGTTTGTCGACATTTTCACTCTGTAGTCTCAGCATGTCCCACCACCCCTCCAGATCCTCTGCCTGCACGGGCTTCGTCTCCTCGCTGCCGTCATAGGGCCGATGGTTCTTGCCCGTAGCTCCCGCCTCGCATCGGTCAATCAGACCGCTGAACTGCAACATTTTCTTGGTAGCGAGCAGATTGGTCTGTCCAATTGCCACATTGATCATATCCATGCCGCCCGTATCCAGCAGATGCGCCTCATTCTCCTTGCTATAGCCTTCCCACTCGCTGCAGATGGCACGCAGTCGCTCAATCTCGTTCTTCAGCTGTAGGCGAAAGTAGAGCACCGACTCGAGAGCTCTCCGTATGGCCACAGGAGTCTCCTCACCGGGCAAGTACATGCTATTTCGCTTCTCCCGCTCACACCGAGAGTTGACTTTGCCGCGAGAAACACTCACGAAGGGACTCAAGTAGTTTGGCTTCCCATCGGAAACCCTCCGTGGGGGCGTCGTTTCCTCAGCTGGCTTCAGAGTAACATCTTCTGGATCTGCATCATCTGTAACTGGATAACAACAATATTTAAATGTTTTCTTATTACTGCTCTGTGTACTCTGCACTCACCCTTGGCCAGAAATGGAGTCATGATCAAACTGTCTTCCGCTTTCGTCTCGACCATGGAGTATCGGGAAAAATCAAATTTTCGCTTGGCCTTCGGCTCCTCGGGGACCTCAGGCGCGGAATCTTTGTGGCTGCTCGGTGGAGCCACTGGACTTAGGCTTGTGATGTCACCAAAGTCGTCCACTGCACTGTGTGACTTGCACTGCGTGGACGTGGCCAGGGCTGGGCCACTTGTTCTTCCATCCAATGGCGTATTGGGTGGCAGCTCAGTGGTCGCAGCCTCAATCAACTCCAGCCTGAGATCCGGCCGGTTACGCACATTCTTTTGAAGATTCACGTACTTGCTGGTGTTGCTCTTGGCCTTCATTCTCATCGAAAACTGACTGGCAGGCTTGTTTCTTGGCACAGCAGCCCCTCCTTTTGTCTCTGCAGTTGGCTTAAACTTGCCCGCAGCTCCTCTTCCTCCGCCGCCACCGCCTCCACGAATGGGCTTTGGCTTCACAATCTCGGCACGGTGACCAGTTGCCGTGATGGCTTTACTCACGGCCGGCTTCTCAAATGGTTGTGTCCTCACGTTTGGCAAATGAAGAACTCCATTCTCAGCTGAACCAACGCCAATATATGCTGCTGCCTTGGGCTTTGCTGCTGTTGTAGGCTTCAAGGGCCATGCATGTGACGGTGCAGGCTTCACTGTCGCTGGCTGCAGATTTCTAGTTGACTTCACAGCGACTGGCTGAGGGCGCGTTGTGGTTGGATGTGGCTTTACTGTGGTTGCCGCAGGTTGACGCTTTACTGTTGTTGCATGGGGCTTCACTGTGGTTGCCGTAGTCAAAGGGCGCGTTGTTGTTGGCTGAGGTTTTGCTGTGGTTGCCGCAGTCAGTGGTCGCGTTGTGGTTGGATGTGACTTTACTGTGGTTGCCGCAGGTTGCTGCTTTACTATGGTTGGATGGGGCTTTACAGTGGTTGCCGCAGTCAGAGGTCGCGTTGTGGTTGGCCCAGGTTTTACTTTCGTTGCCGCAGGCTTAGGGCGCATTGTGGTTGGATGAGGCTGTACTGTAGTTGCCTGCGAATGCGGACGTGATGTGGTTGGCTGAGGACGTGATGTGGTTGGCTGAGGACGCGATGTCGTTGCATTAGGCTTTGCAGTGCTCGTAGGAGGCCTTTTATATATAACCGCGTATAAAGAGTGCCTTTTTGGCGGCACAAATGCTGGAGCATTCGGCTGCTCTTGCTGGAGGTTCGGCGGAGGTTTAAATGTTCCGGATTTGTGTGTGAATTTCGAATTTTGTAATGTTTCCGATTTCAACGGCTGGCCACGATGCGCATTTTCCTCGCACTTTGTTTGTTCCTTCTTGGACGCCCTCCAGTCCAGAAAGCGCTTCAAGTAAAGATCTGGCCGGGTGGGTTTCTTCGGCGGCGAAGCCAGCTCTGGTTTCTGGTTCTCCTTCGGCGGAGCGTCATAGGTAAGGCGTGGCTGCGCATCCTCCGAGGGAGATGTAGGTGCCGCAGACTTCATGGGAGTGGGACTAACGCTAATAATGCGGTTGCTTTGAAAACGATCTTCGCGTTGTTTGGCACGCGCCGCTTTTTGGAGTTCCCGGTTCTGCTCATTGAAGTTGCGAGGGCTTAGAGCAAGGGATTGCTGCTTGTATAAATCCTTGTAGCGCTGCATTGCGACGGCGAGCAATATAATTTTAAGAATTGAGAGTTTATAAAAAATTTAAATTTGTCTCTACAGGCGACGCTACTTTTAAATGGCGCCCAGTGTGGCCGCAGGCAAATCGATCAAATGTACGACCGA